CCTGCCAATCAGTTCCAGTTTGACAAAGTGGGGTAAGTTGGAGGGAGGGGGGAACTGGCCATCACCCCAATGGGACTGGGAGCCCTTGATTTTACAGCCGTTTGTTTGGCGACGGTTCAAACAGCACTGTTAAAAATAAATTACGACTGTGTTTCACGCTTACGACCCTCGCTGCACCCCCATCAAAATTCAGGTGCTTGGCAACCGGCTCACATGACGGTTGGCGTGTCGGTGTGTGTGTGTGTGTCACGTGATTCCCTTTTGCGACTTTCTGACAAGCAAAAGTCAAGAGGGAAGCCCGATTGACTTAACAAGCGGGTGACTCGCTTAAGAACCGCAGCGATTTGTTTAACAGCCGTGGCGGGAAAGGTCATAAAAAAGGTCATATGTCAGGGACACCCCTGCCTTGAAATCCTCTATTTGCCACTTGTCCTTATCGCTGCTTCTTCTCTCACCTTTCCAGCATCCTGACCCTGAACGACTACGTGGCTGAACTGGGTCACCCGTATGTGTGGGTGCAGAAATTGGGGGGCTTGCACTTCCCCAAGGACCAGCCCCAGGTAGGCCGAGCACGGAAGCCTCCCGAAAGCTCTTTTCCAAACTTCAGTGACCTCCCTTTTTGAACCCCCACGAGGCCAACAAAAGTGTCGATGTGTGTGTGTGTATTGTGTGCGTGCCAAAGTGAGGGATGTGAAATTCGTTTAGAGGAGCTAATACTCCTTCCTCCTCCTACTTTCCCCACAACAGTAACCCTGTGAGGTGGGTTGGGAGAAAGTGACTGCCCAAAGTCAGCCAGCTGGCTTTCATAAGTAAGGCAGAACTAGAACTCACCATCTCCTGGTAATTGGCCCAAAGTCACCCAGCTGGCTGTCATGCCTAAGACAGGACTAGAACTCCCCGTCTCCTGGTTTCTAGATCAGAACCTTAACCTTTTAAACTGGCTCTCCAGCTGCTGTGCTTGTGATCTTACTTCCGCTTTGCTTTACAGACCCGCAAAGGTCACACAAAGGGGGATTGCTCGTAAAGTTACTTTTTCATCCCAGTCACGACTGTAAACAGTCACTAAACGAGGCCGTTCCTAAAAGAGGACTGCCCTATAAAGGGTTTTGCTGTCTTTACAGAATCCCGTGATCGCCGATAACTCACTGAGTGCTAGCCACATGGAGAGAACCATGAAATTGCTCAAAACGAGGTTGGAGTCCCGCCTTGCCCTTCACAAGCAATTTGCTTCCCTTGGTAAGTCTTTGCCACCCTCCCCTTCCCCTGGGGGCGCAGAAAGAAAAAAACCCTCCGGTGTGGGTAGCGTCAAACCTTTCCACTTCTGAGCACATAGTAACCTCGCGGCGGTTATATCATAGTGTCCTGGGGCCAAGAGGGACCATGGAGGTCTTCTCATCCAGACCTTCTACTCAAGGCATAAGACCTTATGGCCTCCTGGACAAATGGCTGGCTGGGGAATTCTGGGAGTCGAAGTCCACAAGTCTTAAAGTGGCCACAGTTGGAGATCCCTGTAGTAGGATAAGAACGTGGTGGTCCTCAGAGGCCAAAGAAGAGAACTTATGTTTGGTCTGTGGCAAGGAACGTCTTCCATGGGGGTCACAGGTCTCCTTTCTCGTTGCCTCCAGAACATGGCATTCTGCCCATCTCCCCTGAGTCTCAGCACCTCTTTCCCGCCAAGATTGTGTCCCATTTGGTGAAGTGGGTGTCCCTGACGTACGAGGATTATTTGGTAAGTAGCCTCACGTAGAAGAAGCCTTTTCCTCGGGGTAAAAATATACAGATAGTCCTTGACTTAAACTGAGAAAAAAAAATTCGCACTACAATGGGTTGCAGCATCAAATCAAAATTTGGACCCTTGGCAACTGACTCATAGTTACGACGGTTGCAGCTTCACGGCATCCCCTTGTGCGACCTCCTAAGCAAGCAAAGTCAATAGGGAAGCCCTTGAACCACGGGCTGGATGACTTAACCAACTGCAGTGATTCCCTTAAGAGATGTGTCCACGAAGATTACTAGCAAGTTGCACGCCTCTCTGGGGGGGCCTCTCCCATCATCCCGGGCAGCCCATGGGAATGGACCCTGTTCCCAGTGCCCGTCTGGGTGGGTCCTTGGGAAGGGGAGGTGCTGTGAAACCAGATTTGAAGAAATACGGGAACTTCCGCCAGAGCAGATCAGGAGGCGCCGAGTGGCACCCTCAAGTTGTGCGTCTAAAAGCATTTCTGCCTTTGCTGACTCTAGGAGCTGCCTTACACGAAAGACGTGGCTGGGGCCGGTTTGGCTGAAGATACTCACCTGTATTACTTGGCACTGATAGAAAGAGGCACTGGTGAGCTGGACTCTTTTTTCCCCTCCATTGGGAGGTTGAGGAGACGCCTGGTGGGTGTTTACTGGGGGGGAGAAAAATTGGGACGTTTTGTCCCCAAATGTTTCATCCCAACCTCGAGGTGCTCACTGGATGATTCGGGGCCGGTCCCTTCTTTCCTCGGCCCTGCCCGCCTCACAGGGCTGTTGTGGGGATAAAACTGGACAAGGTACCATCTGCAGAGCTCCTTGACTGGGGTGGAAACCAAGGGATCCGTGGCATTAAGGCCTGCAAAGAGCAGCCCGGGGAAACGGAGGCTGAATTTGGCCGCTCCGTTTCAAACTGCAAATACTCTGTTTGGAAACCCCTTTTGCCAGCTCTCTGAAGAGGGGGGCGAACCGAGATCCTTGGTGTGGTTTTATGGAGTTGCCGGAGGGGGGGGGGGCTGGGGAGGACGACCTCCCTTAAAAGCCACTTCCAAACTCGCAGCCCCCCAAATTTCATTTTCGCTGGCTTCAGTGAACGCACCAGCAAGGGTCTCCTTCAAGCTTTCTGGTTTCTACTGGGAACGGTGGTTGTGTAGCTGTAGTTGTGTGTAAACAGGGGTGTCCTTGCTAAACGGGCTTCTTGCTTCCATCTCGTCCGCAGCCAAACTCCAGGCAGCCGTGGTGCTGAACCCCGGATACTCCTCCATCCCCCCCATCTTCAGCCTGTGCTTGAACTGGAAAGGGGAGAAGACCAACACTAACGATGACAACGTTCGGGTAGGTCCGAGACGGGAACGGGGCTGGGGGATTCTGGGAGTTGAAGTCCACACATCTTAAAAAGTTGCCTAGGTTGACAAACGCTGATCTGGGAGGTCAAAGGTTTGGCTTTTCAGCCTCTCTTCTGTGCCCCCCCTCCCCTTTGCCTTTAAGGCCATGGAGAGTGAGGTCAACGTCTGTTACAAGGAACTCAGCGGCCCCAAGCCGGGCTATCAACTCCTCACCAACCAGTTGCAACGCCTTTGTGTTGTCCTGGATGTGTACCTGGAGACCGAGACGCACGACAACAGCGTGGAAGGACCCAAGGAATTTCCTCAGGAGAAGATGTGCCTGCGCCTGGCCAGGTAAGACGGCTCGGGGCCGTGGAGATCTGGCAGAACAGAACGGGGACAACTCACCCTGTCCGTCTCGTCACGGGAGAGTTCAGCACCAGAATGAAATTTGTGATTTTACAAGTTTAGCTTCTTAAATCCATGGGAGTGGTGAGGGGAGTTGCTCAAGGGTTGTTGAGAGTGTTCGCTCCCTTGTGGCCTTCCCTTTAAAATCTCCCTTCTTCCCTAGGGGTCCCAGCCGGTTGAAGCCCTTCAAATATAACCACCCTCAAGGCTTCTTCAGCCATCGCTGAGCCCACTAGGCCTCACTTCCCAAGCGAAGAGATTTATTTCGGATCTGGAGCTGGTGCATTTGGGATGGCATTGCAGCACTGTTCCTGCTGAAGCCGCCCTGGAGAAGACAGCCAGGCAGCTGCGACCGTTCCTTCATCTCTCGTGAAAGTCATTTTGAAGGAATTAAAATTAAATAAAGGATGCATTTGAAATCTGGCCTGTTAAATCTTTAAGTAAGCCGGGGCGGGCAGATGAGGCCTCTCCAGGTGTGCAGGACGGACCTGCAGTGTGCAGAGTTGCAGATTCTGCTCCAAATTTGCCATCACCTCCAATAGAATATATTGGAATAGCAAGGGGGGGGGGAGAAACTGGTTGTCTCCATCCCCACCTTCAAGATTTGTGTGTGTGTGTGTGTGTGTGTTTGTGTGTGTGCTTTCCTGTTAAGTCAGCTGGATGCTTCCCAGCCACAGGAAGGAGAGGAGCCCAGGCTGCATTGCAGTTTCTCTCTGAATGGACTATTTTTAGCCTGCCTCTCGCCTTAGTTCAGCTTCTGCAGGAGATGGGTGGGTGGCGAAGCTGAGGAGAAGAGGCTGGAGGGAGCAGATCTGCCAAACCACTTTGAGGGGGCTGGTCTACCCCTCTGCCCCTGGTCAGCAGAAAGTGGGGAAAGGGAAAGAGTAGGTTTGGGGGGGAAAAAGATTCTTCCGTAGCAAGAGGCTCAGTTAAATCCTCCTGGAGACCGGTGTGTCGTTTTTTGTGTGGCTTCCAGAGTTGTGGATGCTCCCATCACGGGAGGTTTTCGGGAAGAGACTGGACAGCCATTGGTCCAGGATGGTAAGGTATCCTTCCTTGGGCAGGGGAGGGGGCTGGACTAAATGATCTCCGAAGTCCCTTTCAACTCTGTTACTCTGTTATTAGAATCTAAACATAGGTTTGAACCAAATTGAGGGACCGTTATAGAGAAGATGGGTTTGGCTTGTTCTCCAGAGCACTTGAGGGAAGGACGAGGTAAAGGGGGGGGGGGAGTGTTATAAGTCAAGAACTTCCTATAGACCGGCCTGATGTTATCTTTGGCTCTGTGAATGACTGAGATTTTAAGTATTTATTTTGAACTGAGGAATCCGACTCTCCTCGTGTCTGCAGCTGGGGCAAGGGCTAATTTCTAAGATTTGGGCTCTGCAAGGGCTTTTCTGCCACAAATAATTTGCTCCTTCTACCCAGGTGAGCATGTAATGAAACCTTGTCCCTCTGTGCGTTATTCCTGCTCAGCACTCTCTAAACGTCCCGGTCTGCGCCCCAAACAAGAAGAATAGAGACAGGAAATCAATGTATTGTAAGCATTTTTTTAATTGGCGTCTTATTGCACAGAAGCAACCGGAGGTGAACGTTTTGACATGGTGTAATGCACTTTTTAATCTTTGTGTGTGTGTGTGTGTGTGTGCGTGTCTGTGAATATGTATCCGCACACGGGATTGCTCATGTCAAGAGGTGTTCGACGCTACAAAACTACACCGGTTTTTCCCTCCTAATGAGGTTTGGGGCAGGGGGTGTCCCTGCTCTGCCGCAAAGGAGCCGGAGAGTTTGAGTGTGGGGATTTTAAAAAATCCTCCGCCTCAAATTCTTTTAACTCTTGGGCCAAGCCAGCACCTGAGAAGGCTCCTCTGAGACAGCGGTGGGGGCTGAATGGAGGGGACGAGCCCCCCCACACTTCGACCCCTGCTTTTCTACAGGCCTCCCCTGAAAATACATTTCCTCCTGAGAAAACCAAGGGCTGGATTTAAGGCCTGCCGTCCACACTCCTGTGCAAGCAGTGCACATCGAACGACCTTGAGCAATCTTTAAAGCATTTCTTTTGGGAGATTTCTCTGTCCTTAAGTCATCTCTCCGAAGCAGAACTCCAGCTCTTGCTATATTCGGCATCTGAGTTTATTGCGTGTGGGCCCCCCCCCTTGCCCCTCTTTGGGAAATAAATGCACTTATCTGAGAAGGGCAGTCAACTATCGATCCCCCCTCCCCCTTCCCTCCCCCTTTAATAATTCAAGTGCTTAAATGGCATTCTGCATATATCACATTCGGCTACGGAAGCTGTCAATAACATATTGGAACCAACCATCCGGGGTTCCTTTGTTTGTTTGTTTTTCCCCACCCGAGTCTCAGATCGATCGTGGCTTAGGCGTGGGTTGGTTCTTTCCTCCCGGATCGACGTATTGCAAACATGCATCCGAGGTGCCTCCCCTCAATCTAGCCTGGAGGAGAGCCAGTCCCGAGACAGGTGGTCTTCCAAGTCCTTTGGTGCCGGTCTCAAGACACCTCCAGCCTCTTCTGGTCATTTCTTGGTCTTCTCTTCTTTTTCGGAGGCTTTGCTGTCTTTGGGCTCCATCCCGGATGACTTTTCGGCTTTCTCCGTCTTGCTTGCCTTTGGGGGCTCTTTGGGACCCTCCACTGTGGGAGACTCTTTGGGGCTTGAGGTCTTCTGAGCTTCTTCTTTGGGTTTCTCTGCTGCTTTGGGTTTCTCTTTCTCCTCCTTCTTGGGCTCGGCTTTCTTCTCCTCGGCCTGGGCCTTCTCGGCTTCCTTCTTGGCCGGTGGGCTTGGGGTCTTGGCTTTCACTTCCTCGGCTGGAGATTTCGGCCCAGGTGCCTTGCTCCCTTTCTCCACCTCTTTCTCCGGTTCTGGTTTGGATGGTGGTTTGGTGGTGGCCTCCTTCTCCTTCCCCTTGCTGTCCTCAGCCTTGGGAGCAGCAGTTGCATTTTTCCCATCAAGGGTAGGTGACTTGGCCTTGGGGCTTTGTTTCTTTTCCCCTTGGTCTTCGGCCTTCTTCTCCTTCTCCTTGGCTTCTGCCCTTGGAGCTTCCTTGGTTGGGCTCTCCGGCTTGATCTCCTCTTCTTTCTTGCTCGGTTTCTTCTCGGCCACGGGCTTGGCTGGCACTTCTTTTTCTTCTTTCTCCTCTTTGGCAGCCGGCTTGGCTGGTTCCTTTTGGGGTGCTGCCTCTTTTTCGGGAGATTTAGCCTTTTCCTTGACGGGGGTCTTGACCGTCTCTGGAGATTTAGCTTCCTCTTTTGGAGGAAGCTTGAGTTTTTCCGGAGGTTTGAGGTCCTCTTTTGTTGGGGAAGCGACTTTCTCTGGCATTTTCACAGCTGGAGGTTTTTCTGCCTCCTTCATTGGAGATTTCGGCTTCTCTGGTGTCTTGAGGTCCTCTTTTGTTGGGGAAGCCACTTTCTCTGGGATCTTCAGAGCTGGAGGTTTGTCTGCTTCCATGGTTGGAGATTTCAGCTTTTCTGGAGTCCGGCTGCCTTCCTTGGCGGGAGATGCAGGTTTTGCTGGAGATTTGCGTTCTTCTTTGATGGGGGATGTTGCCTCTTCCACCGGTTTCTTGCCCGGGACTTTCAACAATTCCTTGGTAGGTGACACCACTTTGGCTGGAGGCTTAGTTTCTTCTTTTGTAGGAGACGTGACTTTGGCGGGGGACTTGGCTTCCTCTTTTGCGGGAGAACTCACCTTCTCAGGAGATTTGGCTTCCTCTCCCTTCTTTTCTGGCAACGAGGTCTCCTCCACAGACGGAGATCCTTTTCCTGTTCCAGCTTCTTCCCTTTCTTTTCCTTCAGCTTCTTCTTTTTCCTCTTCTGCTTCCTCCTCTTCCTCCTCCTCCTTTCCCGCTTCCTCTTCTTTCTCACCCTCTTCTTCTTCCTCCGTCACTTCTTCGGTCACCTGCACTTCCTCCGTCTGCTCTTCGACAATCACCGTCTCCTTCTCTGACTTCTCCACCACTTGAATTTTCTCCTCACTTTTGACTTTGATGTGAGTGGGAATGCTCGGGGACTTGGGCGGGATTTCGGGGAAAGGGAAAATCCCCATCCCACTGCCAAAGTGGCATTCCTCTCCTTCCAGCAGCTTCCTGTTTCCAAAACAAAGAGAAGAGGGTGGGGGGGGGAATCAAAACTGTTGCTCCAGGCAAAGAATCATAACCACGTGAAATATTAGTAGTGCTTTATGAATAGAACAGAATAGAACAGAATAACAGAGTTGGAAGGGACCTTAGAGGTTTCTAGTCCAACCCCCTGCTCAGGCAGGAAATTTTATACCATTTCAGACAAATGTCCAATCTCTTCTTAAAAACTTCCAGTGTTGGAGCATCCACAACTTCCAGAGGCAAGTTTTTCTTTCTTAATCTGGAGGATAGGGCTGAAAAACCAATAGCCAAAATCTTTGGGCAGGAACGGAGTCATGGACTAAAAATCAGCTTTTAAAATCAGGGTGGGAAGAAATATTAGAAGAAGGATCCCAGTGTAGCCTTTTCATGCCCTCCTAATTTGCATCTTTCTGTGATCAGGCCCCATGTACCTGTAGGCAGCTATCTCGATATCTAGAGCCATTTTGACGTTCAGCAGATCTTGGTATTCTCTGATCTGCCCGGCCATTTCCCACTTGGTATTCCTCAGCTCGTTGTCCAGCTGGGCAATTGTATCCTAGGGAAGAGACGCAATCTGCTGTGAACACTTTTGCACTAAAAAGGAAAGCTGACAGAGGACAGGTAATCCTCAACTTACCACTGTTCATTCAGTGACTGTTCAGAGTTACAATGGCATTTTAAAAAGTGACGTATAATGTATATCATAGATAAATGATTTTCAGGCTTGCTCACTTTAAGACGGGTAGACTTTTAACTGCCAGAATTCTGGGAGTTCCCAGAATGGCTGGCTGGGGAATTCTGGGGGTTGAAGTCCACCGATCTTTGCTGCGTGTTACCTGATAAGACTGGACATCCAATTGGTGGCGATCTTCAACGTCCAGCCTCTGTCTCTCCAAGGACTCCTTCATTCCTCGAAGAGTTTCCAACTCTGTTGTTTTGGACTGCAGCTGCCTGCGATATTCCGATAACTCCTCTTGGACACCGCGGATGGCGTCCGTGTTCACCTTGGCAGCTTCCGACAGCTTGTCCAGCTTCACTGCAAAATGGAATAGGGAAAAGAGAAAAACTTAAATGAGCTTCTGGAGCACCGGAGTTGACACTGATTGGGTATTGAAACTCTGTTTTACAAGGGCTGGGATGGATTTCGCTCCAAAGGTGTAACTGACTCTCTCAACCAGCTGTGAAAAGATCCCCATTATAGGTTGTAGGTCACTCTGCCCCTTCCTGGTCTGCATTATAGATGTTTTAATTTTTTTTATGGAAATGAACCAAATTAATAGGTAGACCTTTGCTCTTTGTACTAATTACTGGAAAGATCCTCATTGTTATTGGCGTTGCTTTTAATTGGCATTCTGGAAAAACATTAATCGTTAGTAGAGTACTGCATTCAGGGGTGTGTCGGAAGGAAGGAAGGAAGGAAGGAAGGAAGGAAGGAAGGAAGGAAGGAAGGAAGGAAGGAAGGAAGGAAGGAAGGAAGGAGATTTTAAAGAAAAGTTTGGATGGCAATTTATGCACTAGATCTCCAAGGTCTCTTCCAGCCCTATGAGTTGGAAGGAAGGAAGGAAGGAGGGAAGGAAGGAAGAAGGGAGGGAGGGAGGGCAGGAGGGAGGGAGGAAGAAAGGGAGGAAAGAGAGAAGAAAAAGAAAGAAAAAAAGGAATGGTTTTCAAGAAAAGATTGCACAGCCATTTGTCCATGATGGTATCAGGGCTCCTGTTATAAAGGCAGGGGGTTGGACTAGAAGACCTCCAGGGTCCCTTCTAGTCCCATGACGCTATGAAAAATGAAAAGGATTGGATTTTTAAAATGATGCATATGAGAAAAATCTCTTCTGGAAGCTGGAGGCGGATTTCCCAAGCTGGATTCTGCCTGTGAGAAGCCACTTTGCAGTCTGACTCAGCAAATGCAGGGCCTTTACAACAAAGAGTTTCAGTCTAGAAGGAAGCCACCGTCTAGCAAGGTTCTCATGCTAGGCTAGGCTGGGCGATTGTGGGGTTTGGCAGCCGTCTTGACATGTATGTTGCATAGCAGGCATCACGCTGAACCAAACTGTGTTTGTTTGAGCACAGGATGTTAGGCAAAACAAATCCACACAACTGAAAATTCACTGCAGAACTCAGCTTCTGAGTACTAAATTTCTATGTGGCTGAAAGATGCTATTAAAGTACCAGGTCGGCACTTTAGATGCTAGACCACCAGTTTTTTTAAAATTCAGCCCAATATTAGCTTCTGCTCTTTATCTATCTGCCTAAGTGAGTTTGCAAAACCAAGATGATATGCAGTGTTAAAAAGCTGCTTGCCTAAAGAGCTTGCAGATAAATTCCAGATGCTGGAGTTGTATTTATAGCAGCCGATGGAGACATCTAGACAGGAATGGCAGGTTTTGAAACAGACCTTGGTGTTCTCTGAGCTTGGGGGCCTTCTTGTAGATGTTTCACTATCAAACTAGATATCATCAGGGCTAGAAGGGACTAGAGTTTGTGGGGTGGAGGGAGGAGGAGGAGGAGGAGGAGACTGTGGGGTCTCTGAGCTTGGGGTTTTTCTTGCAGATGTCTCATGCCCAACTGGGGAACATCATCAGTGCTAGAAGGGAGTGTAGAAACGAGGAGGAGGAGGGGGGAGGAGGAGGGGGAAGAGGAGGGGGAGGAGGAGACTGTGGGTTCCTTGGGGGTCTCTGAGCATGGGGGTATGTTTGCAGATGTTACCTAATAACGAAACATCTGCAAGCAAGCCATCAAGCTCAGAGAACTCCGCAATCAATCCAATCAGAGTTTAGGTCTCTGATCCCTGGCTGCGGCTGATGGATCTTGGAGTTCTCGGTTTGGAAACCTCAGTCATTCCAAGGCTGGGAGCAGCACCTTGGACAGCGCTCCGGCCTCTCGGCTCCTCTCTCGCTCCCAGGCGCGGCTCCCCTATCGCAGCTTTTTTTTCCCCGGAGTGGGGGGGGAGGGACCAGATAAGAGAACATCGTGAATGCGGATTAGCACCCCCAAGGCTCAAGTGGAGAGGGGGGACTATGGGAGCTAACAGGGCAATAGGTGAGGAAGGTTGGACAGGCTATTAAGCAGATTTCGCCCCTGACAAAAAGAGGGGAAACTTTGCAACTTGGGTCAAGAGACAATGGGGGGGGGGGCGTTCCAAGTCTAGCAGCCCCCTTCAAAAGGACTGCAACGCCCCACTTCGTCCTCCAGCGGTTGGGGGGGAGGCGATGCCCAACACAAATATTTTTTTGAAGTTGGCTGGCAGCCTGGCTGATGGGGGGGGGGGACGGAGAAGAGCCGGCTTTTCTGCCGGCAGCCGCATCAAACTCCCCAGGGACGCCTCTTTCTTCTCGCCCCCCCTTTTTCCGCTTTCAATCACTCCGCCCCTCCCGTCCCCAGCCTAGCTGGCGCCTGGCCGAAGAGATGGACGGGAAGGAGGCGCGTTTGCCAGGCCAGGGGAGGGAGGGGGGAGTGTCTGCAAGGATGGGGAGGGAGGGGTGGCAAAGGAGGCTAGTCACGCTGCGCCAGTCTGGCCCCTCCTTGCACCCCCCCCCCACACACGAAAAACTGCAGGAGGGACTTTGCTCTCCACTTGCCGCCCAGTGCCAGCCGGCCAGAGTCAGCCTAGACTGCGGCACCACTTGGCCCGCCCCCCCCCCAGCGTCTGGGCAAAACCCCCCTCGCCGGGAAAGTGACCCCCACTCTTGCCTCTCCCGCCTCCCGCCCCTTTCTCTTCCTGCACCAAGGCCGAGGGGCCCCAGTACGAGACCAGCGAACCTTTTCCTTAACCCCCCCATCCCAGCCCCGAAACACAGCAGAACTCTTATTTTTCCATTTTTCTCTTCTCCCCCCCCCCGCCTCCTTCTTGCTGCTTTTTTTCTGCCCTTCCAAACGAACTCCTGCGAGAAAAGTCCCGTTCTTCCTTCTGCCCTTTCCCCGCAATGGGGGGGGGAAGGGGGACCGCCGCTCCCTCTTCCGCAGTGGGGAGACAGACGCCCCCCATTACCCAAGAGAGGTTGGCTTTCGTCTCTCAGACGCTCTTTCCAAAGCAAATTTCTCTGCCAACTTTGACCGTCTGGGTCGGTCAAGGGCGCGAGTGGGGAGGGGGTGTTTTCTTGCCGGCCCCCTGGCTGTCTCCCCTGACCCATCAGCCTTTCCATTTCTCGGCCCCATAGTTTGAGATGAGCCGTCTCTTCCCCCCAAATTTTGGGTGAATGTATTGCCTCCATCCCTCGCTAAAATGTGAAATTGGGGGGTTGCCCCCCCCAAGTAAGAGATGAATAAAGACGAAGAGCAAATGAAACTGATGGGGGGGGGAGAGCCAGAGGGTTTCTTTTGAACCTTCTCCCCCCCCATCCACCTTTTTCCCCACAACGCAAGGTCACTCCGTAGGATACCTTTGCCAACCCCCTCCTCTTCTGGATGGGGAAGAGGAGAAAACGGGGGGGGGCGAGGGCGGGGGGGGGGAGAAAGTTCAGGTTTGCACAGCAACTTTCCCCAGCCATCTTTTGGACCATTAATTGGCCGTTTGATCGATCGTGAGTCATCAAATCACTTTCCAGATGGAAATAAAGTGCCTTTTCTTTTGCGTCCTTTTAGAGTTGCGACCGAGCCTCTTACACCGAATCGAAGCCGTTTTATAGTCCTCATCCCTACTAGAGCGCCTAGCGCCCCTCCCCACCCCCGGTTGGTGCCCACCTACCCACCCATCGTCCTGAGCCGGTAGGTGGTTGCAAGAGACGCCTTCCTCCAGGGTCCCCCCCAGCCACCCCCCCCGGCTCACCTCGGAAAAACTCCTCGGACTGCAGGGAGCTCTTGAAGGCGTGCCCCTCCAGCTGGGCGCGGATCTCCTTGAGCGCCGAGGTGACGTCCGACTGGTGGGCGGGCAGCTCGCGCATCTCGAAGACGGCAGCCGGGCTGCCGCCTTGGATCTGGCGCAGCAGCTCGGCCACCTCGTCGCCGTGGCTGCGGCGCAGGTAGAGACCCTCCTCGCCCAGGGCGGCCAGCTTCTTCTCCAGCTCGCCCTTGGCCCGCTGGGCCTGCTCGGTGAACTTGGCCAGGGCGCGGGCGGCCGCCTCGTGCTCCTCGCGCAGCCGGGCCTCGTCGTCCAGCCGCTGGCGCAGCGCCGCCACCTCCTCCTCCAGCCGCTCCTGCTCCAGGCGCAGCTGCCCCTTCTCGTTGCCCGCCCGGACCAGCGCGCCGCGCATCTCGCGGATCTCGCGCTCGTACAGCTCGCCCAGCGCCGAGCGGCCGGCCTGTTGCTGGCGCAGGGCTGCCGTCTCGGCTTCCAGCTGCCGGTTCTGCACCTCCAGGCCGCGCACCTTGTCGATGTAGCCGGCGAAGCGGTCGTTGAGCGCCTGCAGCACCTCCTTCTCGTTGCGCCCGCCGCGCAGCTCGCCGTTCAGCGGGGCCCGCGACTCCAGGCTCTCGGTGGACGAGCCCAGCTGGCGGCGGGAGGCCGAGCCCGAGCAGCGCGACCAGGGCTGCGAGTGGAAGCCGCTGGAGGCCAGCGAGACGGCGCCGGAGCGCGAGAAGACGGCCGGCCCCGTCGAGCGCAAGCCGCCGCCGGCATCCTTGCGGAAAGAGGAGGGGCCGCCGCCGAAGAGAACCTCCGCGCCGTAGCTCAGCATCGCCCCGTCGGAGAGGACACTGCGGCAGCCGGCCAGCCGCGCCGCTTATATGCAGCCCGGAGCCGCCCCTCCGAGGAGGAGGAGGAGGAGGAGGAGGCACCGAGCGCCGCCTCGCCTTTCCACCCCGGGGAAGGGGGGGGGGTTCTTGAACCAGACAGTTCCACGGAAGCTCCGGTGCTCCAAGGGGCTCCCCTCCACCCAACTCCCCCAAACTGCAGGCAGAGGCGCAGTGCAGATACCCCCACCCCGAAAAAAACCCTCCCCAAGAGTGATCAAGTTGGAAAGCTGCCGCAAACCCGCCCAGGGGTAAACTCCCTTGGAGTAAAAGGGGAGGGGGGAACCCCGCTTCAGATCCATCTCTGCTGTGGAACCTGAATGGATAGCTTTGAGCAGATTTCCCCCTCACCAGACCCCCCCCCAAAACTACCTCGCAGGGTTATTGTTCAGGAAAACAAATGAGGAATGGGTGTGCCGTGGGTATGGACACCCCCATTTAACAGATGAGTTTTTCTAAACTTTTATTACATTGGATGCGGTTGTCCTATTATAAGAGGGATTTGGACTTTGTGCAACCAAACAGAATTTACTCCTAGTCATACTAGTGACCATCCAAAAAAATTCCTCCCCACCCCCAAAGGTTCTTAATCCACCTTGCTGGAAAATTGGGTGTTAGGATTATCTGCCCCCTTCTCCTTGAGCTTTATTGAGGTTCAGGGCCCTCCAGGGCTGTGCGTCCATCCATTCCGTCTTTTACAGATGGTTAATGGCAGCCTTAAGTTGCACCTGTCCAAGCTAAACATCTGAAAGCTGGTTGGGAAGCCGAGAGAAAACTGTTTGCATGTGCTCAGAGGCACTCTGGTGTTTTGTGATTTAAAAAAATGGGCCAGCTCTTTCACTGGTTCTCCGCATGGAGTAATAGCAAACAATCCCTTGTTGCCACAATAAACTGATGAAGTTACCTAGTTTGGTAATGAAATGTCTGCAAGAAAACCACCAAGCTCAGAGAGCACCAAGGAACCCACAGTCCTCCTCCTCCTCCTCCTCCTTGCACTGATAATGTCACCTAGTTTGGTAATGAAACTTCTGCAATAAAACCACCAAGCTCAGAGAGCACCAGGGGCCACATGCCACAATAAAGGCAGAGATCAAAGAGATGATATTAGTCTTTTGAGCATCCAGGAGACAGAATGGGCATAGTTTAAGGGAGAAAAAGATGTGGGGGGAGTTCAAAATGGTCAGCAAGGAAAACAGAGTGCTGTAAAGTTGTGTGGTGCTGTTTCTTTTCCTGTTGGTCTTTTGGGGGAAATGGCTTCGTGTTAATCACATTTGAGAAGCGCTTTTCCACCGTCGTTATATTCCTCCTGCATGTTTCATCTTCCTCTCGTAAGTGAGTTGATGTATAGAGCAGTCTTCCTCAACTGGGTGGCTTTATGATGGGTGGACTTCAACTCCCAGAATTCTGGGAGTTGAAGTCCACAAGTTGTAAAGTTGCCAAGGTTGTAGACCCTTGCTAGAATAGATTCTGAAAATTGATTTGAGGTCCATTTAAAATACGCCTCCCTAACTATAGAGACGCAGCATATCCACCCTGGGTTACATTTTTCCATTCTGTTCTTTTTTTACGTTTTTTTCTATTAGCTGGGTGTAATACAATTATTTTTCCCAAGCCCACGTGCGCTGGAAGAACATGAAAAAAAAATGCTTAGAAATGCAAGTCATTTTGGAATTGGCAAGGGAAGAGGTTTCTTTTAGCAGCGTAGCTTTCATCATCCAGATTCCACGCTGGGAAAAATCTTCTTTGGAAGGGCAACAGCAGGAAAACAAACGCATAAATATGGAAGATCTCCCTCTCTCTTTCTCGTTCTCTATTTCTCTCCCACATCCCTGCATCTGCACAGTCGTGCACACAAATAGACACACAGTCTGTTTTATGTCAGCTACACAGTGCAGTGCTGAGCACGATGACTTGCAATTACTTTCTCCTCCTTTCTTCATAATTCCAATAACTGAGGGGCTGTCACAAAGAAGAAGGGGTCGGCCTCTTCTCCAAAGCACCAGAAAGCAGGACAAGAAGCAACGGATGGAACTTTATCAAGGAGAGAAGCATCCTGGAACTAAGGAGGAATTTCCTTGACAGTGAGAACAATTAACCAGTGGAACGGCTTGCCTCCAGAAATTGCGGGTTCGCCATTATTGGAGCATCCAATAATGGACAGGTCGTAAATCTTTTTTGTGTGTGTGTTTTTTTAATTTCAAACAGTCGCTGAAGAGTTGGTTGCAAGTCAAGAGCTATCTTTGGATTGCTGGAGGCCTAGCATTCTGCAGATCCGGTTGGTTAATTTTATAAATCCTCATTAAGTAAACTGTGATGAAGCTTCTGCACTCGCAAGAGATTTTGGGCTGACTCTACAAGGAAGAAGAGCAACACAAGGGAATCCATCTGAGTATTGATCTCCATCAGGTAAAAAGAAGAAATTGCACCCCTTCTAGGATTGGTGGGGTGTTTTTGCTGATTGCCCAGTTCTCCGTTTTCTTGGCTTGAAAGATGTGCCAGAGTTTGTACAACCTGCAGGTCAGTTCAAAGATTCAGCACTTGCATTTGATGAATGCATTGCTTGCTTTTCCTGCCTTCAGGATGAGAAGCCCCTGGAGACCAACCCAAGGAGAAAACTAACCTAGAACGAAGGAGAAATTTCCTGACAGTGAGAGCAATTTGTGGAACAGCTTGCCTTCAGAAGTTGTGAGTGCTCCATCACCGGAGGCTTTGGAGAAGAGACTGGACAGTCTCTTCTTGAAAATCTCCAGTGATGGAGCATCCACAAGCTATTTCACTGGTTTATTGTTCTCATGGTTAGGACGTTTTTTCCTGAGTTCTAGCTTGGTTCTCTCCTTGGTTAGTTTCCATCCTTGGTTCCTTGTCCCGGCTTCAGGGGCTTGGGAAAAGAGGAGAATGAGAGAATTTGGAGATCAGAAGAGAAGGAGAGACCAAATGTGACAGAGCATTTTTTTTTTCTTTTCCTCTTAAAAGCACAGGCACTCCTGGGCAGATCCAGCAAGCTGGTTGAAGCTTTGTAGAGACAGCCATACGTGCTCCCGTCTCAGGGAAAGCCAGAAGGAGCCAGCTGGTCTTAGCCCACCTGGACCCTCCTCCAGGCATATCAGAAGACCAAATACTGGCCTGTGCTTTTGACCTGACTGACAGCTGGGGAGAAATGATGGGGAGATTAAATACCCGCCACAACCTCTTGGCAAGATGCTGCTGAAGGACAGAGAGGTCAGGGTGACTTTGAAAGCTGTCAGATGTGAATCATCGAACTAAATCATTTCGGTTCTGTCCACACAATAGTCATCATTACTGTGATTCATCACCATCCAACATCATTTTAACACAGGGTCCATCCACTGCAGGAGGAAGGCCTCTTCCGTGTGTCTCCAACCCAGACGGTCCTGGGCTTCCTTTTGGCACTTGGGCCCGCCATACTTGCTGATGTGGTTGATCCATCTTGTTTTAGGTCTCCCTCGTGGGCACTTTTGATCAAGTGGGATCCATTCTAGGACCTCCTTGGTCCACCTGCCCTCAGTTCTTCTGGCTATGTGACCAGCCCATTTTCCATTTGTTCTTTGACTTTCTTGATGATATTGTATACTTTTGTTTGTCGATTCATGGGGTGATGTTTTATCGTGTGCAGCTAATGCAGGGTTTCTTCTGCCTCTCCTCTCCCCACGATCCTGCAACCTGCTCCACTTTCGACAGAGTTGGCGTCTGTGGTTGGTGACCGGTCTCTGAGGGATCAGTCGCTCAAGGTCACCGTCAGAAGATCCAGTGGCGCCTACAAGGCGTGGTCTCTGCATCGCTTTCCACCTCTCCGTCCCAGCTTCTGCTGAATCAGGAAAATTGGAAGGTAAAAATATCTGTTCTCTGGGTAGACAGATCCAGGAGCCGCTTCTGTTTCCATGAAACAAGAGTTACAACTCTGGGACCGAAACCTTGTCTAATATTTCCTAGCCAGCGCCGCCAAAACATGTCAGTTTGGAAAAAAATCTGGGTCACTGTTCCCTTAAACTGGGACCCTCTTTCGAGACTCAACAGAGTAACAGAGTTACTACATCCCTGTAGTCATCTTGGTAGCAACATGGAAAGGATTTGTTATTGGTCCTAGTCTGGTGTTCCTGGTCTGCTTGCAGCAGAATTTCCTGGTGGTCTCCTCTCCGAGTATAAACTAAGCTCATCAAGTTCCTGCCTGTCGAGACAGGGACTTCTCCTCATTCCCAAGTAGTTTTTGGAAACTGTGACCCCATTACAGCTGGAAAGGGAAAGTTGCTTTGGGTCAACAGCTGACTTCACCACGGTTAATTTTCGATTATAATTTAAAAAACGTGGCCTAAAGCGCCATCTCCTGGTGCAGCGAGGCAATAACACCCACTGTATTTTAGCTACCCTAGTAGAATAACTCTATTGTCATTTTAAATGTACTATAACTGGCGTACATTAAAATGAAATTTCATTGCATACAGCTCTCAAAGGATCACTACCTCCAATATACAGTACATAAACACAACCATTTTATTTATTTTTTTTTGCATTTTGCAAGCTACCTTGTGAGTTAGTCTCAAAGATGCTTTTCCAAAAGGCAACTGGACTATATGAGCTTATATCAGGTATCTGGATCCAGCTAGTCCTCAACTTCGTTTAGTGACTGCTCAAAGTTAGAACAGCACTGAAAAAAATGTGACTTATGACCATTTGTTATACTTATGACCCAGGACCCCAGGACACTGCAACCATCATAAATATGAATCAGTTGCCAAGCATCTGAATTCTGATCACATGGCCATAAGGAGGTTGTGGTGGTCACAAGTGTGAAAAATGGTCATCAGTCCCTTTTTTTAGCTCCGCTGTTAACTCAGAACGGTCACTAAATGAAATGTTGAAAGTCGAGCACTATTTGCAATTAAGATTTTTTTTAAAAAAATCTGCTTAATTCCTTGTTCAATCCTCTGTTTAGTATCTGAAAAATGTTCATTCACA